TCCTCTAAGTGCCTAGAACTGAACACAAGAGTCTCCGCTCTTCTCTTCCTGTCCTTTTCCTCCATCAGTGAAGGGCTGACTAGAGTAAAAATAAAGAACAATCACCCAAATGGGAAAACACCAGACCATTCATTCAGAGCTTGGTATAGCAAGGAGTCAACCACCATCGCTCGCATTTGGCAGAGACTCAAAGGCAGACAGAGGAGTGAAAAAGCTCTATAGTGGAGGTAGGGAGGAAAGGATTTGGAATGCTCTGAGCAGAGGCTGTTGTCATAGGGAAGTTAAAGATGAGTTAACTAGAAGCAGGGCATCTTATGTGATTGGCTAAGGCAGTATATTTGGGTTTTTGTTGGAACTGGGGGCAAAACATAGGCACTAAGAATAACCAATGACCAGATCCTGACAATCCTGGGCTTACCTGACGCAGAGGTTGTGGTTTGGCTTCCTGGCCGTGTTGCTGCAGAGGCTGAGAGTCAGAGTTCTGTTGTCATATATGGCCTGGCCCTTGTCCGTTTGTATACTCAGACTCTCACTATCCATCTTGGTTCATAAGCGAGGAATCCATAATTATCTTGAATGCTTCCATCTCCCCCACCCCATATCCAATCCATCACCAAAATCTGTAAAAATCCACCTCCCTACATATCTCTCAAGTCTGTCACTTTTTCCATCTCTGCTGTGGTACCACGAAACTATTTTTGTCTTTCACCTGGTCTATTAAATAGCTTCCTAACTTGGTCTGCCTACCTCCACTACCTCCTCCCCAATTTATTTGTTCAAGTAATTTTTTTCAAAAGGCAATCCTGATTACATTGTCCCTTTGCTTAAAGTACATCAACAACCACTGGTTTTGAGATAAAGACTAACATCTTTAACACGGCCTTCAGGGCCCTGCATGGTCTGGCTCCCATCCTTCTGCCTTCTCTTGTATCACACAAGCCCTTTTGTCTTTCAGTTTGTGTCACACTGGCCTTCTTTCAGTCCCTGACACATCTGCCTACTTGCCACAGGGGATTTACTGGAAGGCCAAAGGTAGCTCCGGAATCAAAAGAATAGGTGAAGGGTTAGGGCTGAGGCCAGAGTAACTCCAGAGACACAGGTAGTAAGAGAAAAATAACGTCTCATGAGGACACTGCTACAGGGAAATATCAGCTCCACCTACCCCGCTGCCGCTTGCACCACTCTGCTTCAG